TAAACTTTCTAATTGCACGTTAAATAAATGGAACATGTTCGAAACTTTAAAGAAATCCGTTTGTAAAAAACAATAATATGAATTATAATTAATAAAGTTGTTATCTAAAATTGTTTAAAGAAGCAATGGAAGTAAATTTGCACTAAATTAGCACCTCTAATAAGTAGTCAATTTGCATAATTGGATAAACATCGTAAAAATGCACGCGAACAATCCATTGATATTTCGAACAGTAACGTTTGAAATAGGGTTGGAAATGAGGTTTGAAACGGGGTTGGAAATCGTATAGGGTGGTAGGAAGCAACCGTCGTTTCCGGTTTTAGCATGTCCGCCTTGCCGTACGCATTGCAATAAAGGAACATGGCAATTACCTCGTTTATTATGTAAATTTCGCAAGAGAAATTACTCGGCCTTCGGAATGGATTCCGTGACGGTTGGCAGTCCTGGTAAAGCAAATCGTTCGCACCAGAACTGCCCTAATATTACACTGCTATGTAATATCTAGTTAAGGGTAACTTCGTTTCATTCAAAGCTAATTTCCTTTATGAAACCAAAAAAAAACTGTAATTTTCATGCTTTTGTGTTTGTTAAAACGAAGTTTGAAATTCAAAAAAACGTGGGATTAAAAATGAAATGTATTTCAAATTAAAACCGGTACCCGGAGGTATACTTGGTTTCAGTATCTAATTTATAATTCCAGTATTCAATAGAAGATTCCAGTATCTAGTAGATGATTCTAGTGTCTAGAACATGTTTCGAAATCCAAATATAATGATTGGAGTCAGAATATATTACTTCAGTAGATGTTTCCAGTATACGGAAGTTCCCAGTATCTATTGAATAACTCCAATATCGGATATTCCAATTTGTAGTGGTTGATTCCAATATCTAGTGAAAGGTTTTGGTCCTTTCAACTGTGGAAAGTTTACGACTTTCCTATTATTTATGCTACTCTCAAAGTATGTTTCCCTTAAAATTGTTTTCAGCTTGTTTATGTCCTTGCTAAGCACCATTATGTAAAATTGTCTTTCAAGCACCCTGAAAATGCAGTTACTTCCACACATAAATCCACTTTTAACGTTAAAAAAAGCGTCGCTTGGTTGCTGTTATAAAAATTGTCACGACTCTACGTCGTCCGGGCCCGAAACCACTTATGTAAATGTCAAATTTAAAACGATCAAGTCTGTGGGAAGTTAATATCGCCACGTACCCGACATCAATCTAAAGGGTGGCTGTGGTGCGGAGAAACTTGCTAAATAAGGGCGGGTCGCAAAGCCCCCCTAATGGATGGACCGTTACGGAAGTCGAACTGTTCTTCGGGGTCGGTTGAAAGCCGTGTCGAGTGCTTCGGAACGCCAATCTAAATTTGCGGCACCATCCTCCGGAAATCCGACGAACTCATGCCTGCGAGACCGTCACGTTACGGCGCCTAAATACCATCGTTTCCAAAAGATCTACTCGACCGACATCTTTTGGACTTAAACATTTTGCCAGATACCATTTTAAAAGATTTTGGAGTAAAATTTATTGTACAGTTTTCAGTAAATTATCCTTCTTAAATTACCAAATTGGCTAAAACCGTTCATAAAATATTAATTAAACAGTGGCAATTAGGATAACTTGCCGAAGCACTTTGGCAAAGGACGGGGTGGGATGAAGTCTAAAATCACAAACACTACGTAATCCGCAGGATCGCCAACCCACGGCAGGACGTGCAGAATTAATTAACTCCCCAAGTCCGGCGGTTTTTGATGTAACGCGTTTTGAAGCTGCTAAGCTTCACTCAGAGGCCGGTTTTAATATTAAAACCGGCAGCTGGTGATCGATACAAAAGGCGCCCGACTAAATATTTACCGAGAAAGTTATAATGAAAACGGACCCGAAAAAGGACCACGAAATCCTCCCTGAATTCCTTCAAAGTTTCATTTGACTACAGCGAACATTCTCCGAGTTGCAACGTTTCACGTTTTTATCTCTATTTAACGCAACTAGACTCATAGCAAAAGATGGAGGAATGTTTCCTTTGTGGAGATAACTGTTTATTTGCATACCTGGATAGGAATGTTTCCTTCTGGAATAAATCCTATGTAAAAGCTAGCTTTAAATGGAAACTCTAGAGGAATTATTTTATAATTAAATTATTTTGAAATGGTGAAAGAATATTTGTTATAATTATTTACGAGCATCTGTTCGCCAGTATCTAACTTATTTATCTCAAGTTAATACGAACTACACCCTTCATAAACCTATTTGAAACTCTCGCAATTCTGCGTTTCCCCATTGTGCTCCCCCCGAAACTAACCCGCATTGTTTCGTTTCTCCCTCAGACGACGGGTGAACCACTGTTATTGTCCCCATAAAAACGTCGGCAAGTGAGGTGTAATAAAAAGGGAGGTGGTGGTGGCGTCAAGGAGGGTGTCTCCTTTCGCGGGGGAACAAGAACCACTTGAGACCTTCCACTTGGAGACAATGCTTTTACTGCGAATAAGAACAGCATATAACCCTTATTTCTATCCTGTACAAGTGGAATACATATAATACAATGTCCGTTGGAATTTTATTAAAAAAATTAAAACCACTTAAACTAGTTTCTCTTTATTTATATAGTTTTTTTTAATTATTGTAGTAGGTTGTATAAAAACTTTAAACCATCCAAATTTACTACCCAACATTTACTTGTATTGTTGACGAGGGTGTATACGAAAGGTTTTCAGTGGAAATTCGCTTCGACCGGGCTTTGGAGACCAGCAAAAAGCAACCCAACTATTCGGTTTCGTGTAATTACAGTTCGCGTAGTAAGAATAGACCCGGAGGGGCGGCTTCATTAACGGAGAACCGCCAAGAAAAATACAGCATCTACCGTAAAAAAAAAGACGTTCGTAATTGAAAATTTCGCGACGGAGTTTGTTTCTCGCACCCGGTTTTATTAAACCTGGATTAGGGTCGTGGAGGCCTTGAATTACACGCGTTCATTAAAATCGTATTTTCAGTTTCAGTGAGAATCGCCATTAGTGAGGGTCGTGCATGTGCGCACCAAATTCTGGGCCATTAGCAGCTTCGACCATGTCCAGATAGGAAAATGAAATACGCGCAGACTGTTCGATAGTTAATAGGGGTGTTCGATTTCAAATCAATTCGATTCTGACCTAAAAACGCCGACTATGTTGTTCTCAAATAGTACTCAAAAATCATAAAATCGTTTAGTGTATATGATTTTCAGTTTTTATCGCAACGGTATTTGCCGACTACATAGTTTGAACAAAGTTCACAGAGCATAGGAAACACGTATACGTGGCGAAACATTGTTCGACCGGAAGTAATCGGAGGGGTTGCGTTTCCGATGCAGAGCGTACATATCCGGTCGAGCGGAAGTGATTTTTCCATTTGCGAAACACCCTGTTAAACGGAAAGAAACGAACCTGCGTTTAATAAATCGCCGGCGAGGGGTCGAGGGACATTATAATACCGTTAGCGGTTTAAATGTGAAATACGGCCCTGTAAATTTCGGCTCGACTCTGGTCTCGAGTAAAATATGAAACAAGAGTTGGGCTCGAATTTTCGTTTTTACTGCGCGTCGCGCAACAAGTAATAAATTCCCGTAGAAAGAATTGGATAGGGCGTGTTCCCGTCTGTTACGCCGGAGACGCTACGAGATGCAAGTTAAATATTTATGTCGACTTCTAAAACTTTAAACGAATTGAAAATAAAATACAATGTTTTCTTAACTTCTATTGTAATATAAACAGTATCAAAGATATTTACAATAGTTCTTATTCCATGAAAGTGAGTCTATAGCAGAAATTCTCCATGATTCTTTTTACCTTAGAATTTTTCTTAGTATAGATCGATAGAACTCATTTGCGTTCCCATTCACCTACTATCTTGGTCCTCATCATAGAAAACCATCAACGAGAATATTTTACACTTTATATTTCATGATGATATCTCAATTAGTGTTTGAGGTACCAATTTTTAAAGATTAATTACTGTAAGACAGGATATCTATACAGTGAATTTCACTTAAGATGCAATATAGAAAAATATAGTTCCAGTGAAACCAGGGCGTACTTCTATATTGTTATTGAACTAAAACTAGAACTAACTCTAGACCAAGAACTAAAAAGTATCGGGTTAAGTTCTAGTTTTACACTAGTACTAACACAAGACCTAAAACTAGAATCATTCGGGTTTAGCCGTCTTTACAGACGTGCGGCTAAATCCGAATGTTTCTAGTTCTAGGTGTTATGTTAGTTCTAGTGATAGTGCTAGTGTAAAACTAGAACTAACACTATACCTAGAACTAGTAGCAGTGTAACTGTAAAACTAGAACTAACACTATACCTAGAACTAGAATCATTCGGGTTTAGCCGTCTTTAGAGACGTGCGGCTAAACCCAAATGATTCTAGTTCTAGGTATAGTGTTAGTTCTAGTTTTAATTGTTATTCAGCGTTATATTGTTTTATATCTTTATTGAAAGAAAGTGGAACTAACACTAGACCTAAAACCAAAAACGTTCGGGTTTAGCCGTGCGTCTTTTAAGACGGAATCTCAGGGTTATCATAAGTACGTCATCTTTTCCAAGCAAAACTTTTCCTTTACAAAACTACCCAATGCCTGTACTATTAAGCGATGTTGCACTTTATATATAAACAGGATTTATTTCAAAAGTTATTTAGTTCATCATATATTTGGATATGATGTACATAAATTTAACCGAAACATTTCAATTACATAAAGTTGTATATATCTCAATATTGTTTTAATTAAAAGTGTCTCGGTTAAGTTAGTACATGCAACAGTTGTAATATGAAGTTCAAAGTTTATCGTTCAGGGTATGCCTCTAGATTCGATTTTAGTTCAAAACTTTCTATCAGACCACGTTCATTTGTAACTAGCCACCATCAAAGTGTAATTATATCCGATTTCCCATTTCCGTAAAGCGCGTTATCGCGAGGTTAAACCGCAAAACGGACAAACTGACCGTCTCTGTTTGTTTCAGACTCGATGCAAGCTCTCTGCAAGACCCATTTCCTCCAACAACTGTACCGGAAGATAGATGGCGCCGTACTGTGGTCGAAGAACGAAAGGAACCTCGACTGCGTCATTACCTTCCAAACGCACTCGATTCTTCAAAGATTTATGCTTCGATTCGATTTTTTGCAACTCGACTGTAACGACCACCTGTATATATACGACGGGGCGCACGCTGTCGGTACCTACAAGGTGAGGGGTTTACGTCCAGGTTTTAAAAAGGAAATTAATGGTCCATGTTCGCAGTGAGCAATAAGGTCAATAAAATTGGTTTTAAAAAGAAGTAATCGAACGCGGTCCGGATATGAAATCGAAAAGTTTTCGTTCCCCTCCGCCGAGGGCGACATTTCGGGTCCGGTTTGTACGGAAGTAATTGGGGAGGGCAGCGCAAGAGAGCCTCATGGCGATAAGCGATGATGAACGGTCCAATTTAAGTTTCCCAAACGAATCTAACCGCCGCACCGGTAACGTTACTGGTAGGATCGATTTTTGTACGTTCAACAGAACCTTTTCTGACTATTCTGTCAAACGCTTTGTGCGACAACTATATTGAACGTTCAATATCGAAAATGCCTAATCCAGAACTAGGTACAATTACAGAGCAAAAGAAATTTTGATTGGTTCATCATATAGTTTTTTTTTGTAATACCTTTTAGTACCCAATGTTCTTATGAAGATATACTGCTTCATAAGAAGATTGAAACGCTCAACAAGCTTAAATTCAAGTATTTTTTTTTGATTTTATAAAACAACGCACAAGTTTTTTAGCCCACCCAATTAACCAAGTTAAAGCTTGAGGATCTTTAGGTAATCCTGCGTTTCATCCCTGATCTCCCACGGGAACCTTAATTAGGACTCTACGAGACGTGCACTTCTAAGAAGGTGGCTACGCCGCATCCCTGTTGCCGAGATCACACGAGATTATACGTTTTAATCTGTGGGTAAACTTTCGCTTGTACGCGAAATTGTGTCAAGCCTTCGTTTTAATTTGCATATCATCGCCGTAGTTTACATTGTACGTAAACTAACAAAGTGTTTCAACGTCAATAAATAAGCAAAACGAACATGTTGAACGTTGCCTATTTATTTTTTCTTGTTTGTTTTAGTTTGACTTGTCCTGTAGAAATACACAGAAATTCGGACCGATGTACACTAGGACCAATTACGTCACGCTCAAGTACGTTACAGACAGTTGGGGTTTGGACTCAAACGGATTCAAACTAGTTATAACGGCCGTCAAGGATCAGAGTGAGTACCAGTTGGTGTATTTAGTCATTTTACTATCCGTCCGTTCGAGTACCAACCATTAAGTAAAGCTACACCGGGATTGTGTTTATACTGTAAATTGAGATATAACTCAATTAGGGTCGACAGGATGGCGTTGTCTTTGAGGAGCATCGTTAAATTACTGTTAGATGTGGACTTATATAATAAGGGTAGTCATTAACTCATACTATATAATGACCCCATAGTACTAACTACCACTTCATGTAATTAATATTATAGTGGTTACACGGATTTTTTTAGTCGATTATTATGCTATGATACTACCAGTAATTAATGAATTTCATAAATATTTACACGCGGTATTTATCTAGCGAAAATCGGAATAATAGATTTCTGCAGATAAGAATTCTAGGGAGTTTATTACATTTACTGGTCCGAGATGCGATCTTTATCAATTTTGTAAATTGGTGATCTGGTTACTTTCTGCATCAACAACATGGCAGACTTATTGATTTGAAAACATCTATATTTGTGTATTCAAGACATCTTGTTGTAACCAAGACGTTCCTGTAAGATTTATCAGCTTATAATTTCTAAGTTGAAAATCATTTCCACTTTATATCTACAAAACGGTTATAACTGAGTTAGATCTGCTTGTCAATTATGCTTTTCCGCATCATTATAAACAATTTATATACACAATATTTTTCTCCATCACTTAATTTTTGACTTATAAAAGTGACTTTATTAACAATAACTTAAGATGTGGGTTAATTCTACCCACATGACATAAATCTAAATTTATCAAATTAAAAATCTTAATTGCATAATTCGAATATTGCAAATAACATACCGGAGTAATGTTGTATGTTTTCCCACAGGTGCCAGTCAAAATGATATAATACGCCCCGCTTTAGTTACAGTAACCCTTAGGGTCAAGTGATCCTTCTCGTAAATTTCGCCCGTTGGGGATGATTTACAATCTGCACATTACCACGGACCAATAATTCAACGGTAATTGCAAAGATTAGGACGTATACGGTCTCGAGAATCGACGATTTCGTTCGTACAATTGACGTTACGTTATCGATCGTTCCAAGTCAACGGCCAAATTAAAAAGTAACGAATTCGCGGAACCGCAAGCCCTAATTGGTTTTCTGTATGCGAAAAGTACCCTTTGTATAGTGCCCGGAGATAGTTTAATAGGCAATTTGGCTTTGAAATCGTATCGTGAAGCCGTGCGTATGGTGTTAATTAAATATTGTCGAAAATAATTAATTGACCCCATTATTGTCGACGCCGAGTGCGGAGTTATTGCAATTATATTCAACTGCGGTCGTATATTTATGTTTTGGCGATTGCGTTCTATATTTATGTACCAAAAAAAAACGAACTGGTACAGGTATATTATGAGGAAACGGCTGATAACGATTATTCGATTCAATATGCATTGATTTATAACAACTGTACTTGGTTTATATTAATTGAATGATAATTACTACACATTTCACTTAGAATGAGGTTTGAACCGGGTTTAATTCGATTGTTAAATTTATTAATTGAATGTTGGGTTGTCTAAGTACAAGAGCTGAAATAAAATAAACGTTCATAGCAACGTAATAATGAGTGTTTTAATTACATCGCAATAACGGCTCTCAAAGCTTTTATAGGATACATAAAACTTTCTGGTGGCTAGAAACCAATATGAGAAATTATTGCGGTTCTCGTACGTTTTAAACGAAAATAGATTAACCGTATTGCGGTGGTTTGAGTAGCTGCGGATGAGTATGGGAAAATAAATTTTGTAGTAGTTCGCTTTGTACGGCAACAGTTCTCAAAGTGCTGTTTGGAATTTCAGAACATGCGTGCACAGAATTCCGGTGCACCCCTTCGGACTTCTGCATAGCCACAGACCTTGTCTGCGACAACATCAACCATTGTGGCGACGGATCTGACGAGTCGTCGAGCAACCTTTGTCAAAGTAAGTATTTAGCAAACATTTCGGGCGACCGCATCAAAGGATTCTAGCTTTGTGTGCACAGTTTCTCCAGTTTGAAGCGGAGATGCTCTTAAAAAAATGAAATGCTTAAGAAATATTTACTTGTGTATATCGATATTATTTTCATTACAGATAATGAAACCGGAACAATTCTAGGATTGGAGATGACGTGGTTTGTCGTGCTTATCGTAAGCACCTTACTTGTTCTATTGGTTTGTATAGTTGCTGTGTCAATATGCTTATGCCGAAGAGGTTTCAATACAAGGATGTCCAACAATGTACCTCAACAGAATTATTCCCGTAAGTATATTATTTGAATTCCATATTCAAAATGAATACACAACAATTTGATTTAACTACATCAGCCCCTTCATTATCCCTTAACGAGTCCGGTTCATTCGCTTGCATCCCTCGACTCACTTCATTTGAAGACGTCCCGCATATTATGCAATTCAATTTTGTGCCCCTTATCCGGAATCCGCGACCGCATTACTTATTCACCTCGCCGTCGTTCCCAGCCTATTATTCTTTAACGAATTCTTTTCGCGCGCGATTCGCTCACTGCGAGATGAAAACCATTATTAGGGCTCCATTCGCAAGCGCTCCGCCTTTTCGGGCTGCATTACAAGCCGACCCGAAAGAGGGAAAATCGCATTAAGAGGTAATGATAAATTGTACGTGTGTTTGCAAAACGGTGCAATATGATAACGGGCAAAGCTCCTCCAACGCTGCGACCGGATGGTTATTTATGACCAAAGTTACGCCCTGCGGGGTTAACCAGGGGATGCTATCCACATAAGTGGAGATAGCGGGTGAGAAATTGTATATGGTGGGTAAGGTGTGAGCCGGGGAAGAATTTGTAATTGACCGACGATGTATGAATATTACTTTAAATTGATGGTGTAACATCTCTTGCTATATTAGGTGTCATCTCTTTGTTTAAGTAAAAATTTGTCTTTTAGTTTTTCTATGCTAATAAGTAGTAGTAAAATAAATTGTTTCTTGCTGTTCTTGTCGATTTTATGGTAATGAAATGGAGTTCGTATTAAAATTTAATGAATGAACCTTTCTATGTTTAAATGTTTATTTTTGGTTTTTACAGTTCAGCAAATGTATGGGTCTAATGGGGCTATGAAACAAGGCTCTATGACGACACTCCCGGTGCAGGGAAACTGGTACCACCCTGCGGGCCTACAAGGGTTCCGCCTCAGCATGCCGGTCCGGGTCCGCCTCTACTGCCAGGCAAAGTAAAACACACGTCTGCCAACGGCGGCGATGCTGACCTCGTCCAGCAAAGCCAAAAGGACGAGTGGTTCGTCTAGCAATAGGTTAGTTTTTATTTTTTCGAATAAAAATTTTTGGTAATAAAAGCGAGAACCAGCCTATCAAAACTCATTTTAGGGATTCGATATGAGGCAATTCGGTTTTAGGATTTGAAATCCCGCAGTCTTCAAACCGGATTATAACGACGGTCTGTTGTCCGAGGATAGTTGGAAATCGTATTAACCGAAACAGATTCAGAGCCAGCGGCGGTCCCGCGATATTACATTTGTTTTTAGTTCGCAGTAAAACGGCAAGCCGTAAACTTTAACGATAGTTTTCGAAAATAAAATCGCCGGAACGCCTCCGTAGACTCGCCCCTAATGACTTTTTGCCCATCGGGCCTGCAGGGGATGAGTACGCTTCGTACAGCTAATTTGTACTCGGTTTCGGTGCGATGTCGGCCAAGTTGTGAAGTCGTTATAGCAAGACTTGTTCTCACGATTACAAAATTCATCATAGCTTTTGCTGATTCGAGATGGAAAAAATTGAATTGAAACCACTCAATTTAATAACGACCCAACCAACTTTATTGGTGTCAATTTAATAAAAAGTTCTGCTAAGGTGACACAACCAATTTTATTGGAAAAGCTTCTGGACACCTTGAAGAGTTCTAAAACCCATAGAAACTTTCCACTCTCGGAAATACGACAAGTTTGCTCAAAACTCCAAACTAGTAATTAAATTAATTCCATAACCGCCGTACCGGGACCCTTTCTCGAAAGATATAATTGCCGAGATTTTGTTTTCGGACTCCGACAATGCGCCTCTAATTAAAGTCGTAGGTAGACGGGGCCATAACTCGAATTTCGCTCCCGCACACCGCTCCAGTATCGCAAAGTTTTCCTAGGGAAGCTCCCGATGCGGAAAATTAAAGTCCTTTATGCGTTCTCGGCAAAATTGAAACTCGAATTAAGTAATTTGAGCGGGATAACAAACGTCGACGGGGCAGGAACGTCCAGGGGGCCGCCTCGACGGTTTAGTTAATTGCAAGCTTTCGTTCGCCCGGCATTGTCCTTTTCAATCTCGGGGGGGACCCTAGAGATTTTAATCCGCTTTCCCGGAGAACGTTTTTCTTATTTAAATAATGGGACAGCTTTAGGAATTTGGGGAAACTCCGAGAAGTAATTAGTGATTCCTTCTGTTTTCGAAAGAAATTAAATTCGTCATATATATTTGAATAGATTCGATTTACCAACACCATTAAATAACATTCATTTTTATTATTATAACATCTCAGCTTAAAGCAATTCCAAACAAAAAAGCGAAGAATACGTGAAGTCTACCAATCTTGAAATGAATGGAGAACAACTTTGTTAACTAGGAATGTGTCAACGTTATAAAACAAGTGGTGGTTTAGGACATGTAGACTATGAATAATTTGGTGCTGCGTTGTTCACAGACTTTAACCAGGATGATTTTCGATCCATTAGTTCAGCATCACCAACTACATGAAAAGTAGACGTTTTTTATTCTTTTGCGGTTAATATATCATGACTGGCTTCGTTCCAATTTTATTGGGATACAATGTAAACCGGGTTGGATAGGTTTTTGTGTTGTAGAATGACTCTACGACCTGTATAGTTATGATCAGAAAGTTAATTGATGTGTGCATTCGACTTTCACTACTTTTAGGACTACTGAGACCGCTCTACAGTGATTAAGGGTTATTTTTTTGCATTCAACCGATTAATTTGATTTTGATGAACGTTCAAATTCATTTCTTCTCACTACTTTGATTATGTGTACATTAGTAACTTAATTCGTTTTAAAAAATTCTAGTTTAATGTTAAACTACGCAGTAACTAAGGTCTACCATTTTCTGATATCTTTTGAGTAATGGACTTAATGGTATCAATTGTATCCCCTCGGTTTGATCGTACAAGATCATACATTTTCCGTTTCAATTAAGTCGAGGTAGTTTGCGTCAAAACACAACATTACATGTAAACAAATCTTGCTTACATGTCGTGTGTCAATACGGTATCAAATGTACCCCCTCGGCCGCAAGCGACCTCGCTTGATCGTCCACAATCGTACATTTCTGTGCCAATTAAGCCGAGATCGCTAATATAATTGATCGTCATAGAAGTTTTGTCTCATTTAAGCTGAAGTCGTTTGCCTACCAAGGTGCAACAACGCATGTTAACTTTTTTGTGTCAATATGGTATTAATTGTAGTGCCTTGAGTGAATTTCTCTTGTAGATTTATTATGTTCTATAATTAACATACATTATAATAAACGTAGAGCTCTTGTGGGTAAAATTTATCATCATATTGTTAGTAATTCGAATATTTTAATGTGTCTAAATAGTAAATTAATGTATTCCTTTTGTTTCAGAGGTGCCCGGCTCGATGCCTGCAGGGTGAGCCGAGTGTTGAACCCAGCTCGGCCGGTAACGGAGGTTGCCGATAGGTTAATAGAGATTATTAGAGATTTAGCTCGACGGAGATGGACGCGAACGTTGGTAACGTAGCGTATGTTATTGCTGCCAACAGGGTTTCCAATAAGTTACTAAAATAACCGCTCCTGTGATTTGATATTCTGTTTGGCGCGTACGCGGTGGATTACATTCTGGGGGCGATTTGAAAAATTTAATAAAATTAAATTAAAAAAAAGAGTTGTTCAATGTAATGTCTAGACAATATACATCATTGTGAACTAGGTAATGTCTTAGCTTAATCATAGCCAAATCAAGTTTTGTCCTCTATTTTTTTTTGGTCCTATTTTTGAAGAGTCCGCGTTGAGCTGAGATGTGTTCGATGTAATTTAACAGCTCTGAGAACTGCCTGTAGCGCTGTGTTTGTCTTATCACATCAATTTGTGGTCAGTGTCCGGCCAATTTTTTAACTGTTTCTCCTTGTACTGTATTATCTTTTTGTCGGTGGATCCTGAAGGTGCTAAGAAAACGATCACCGGATAATACAGCTTTGTGAATTTTTAAACTAACCTTCACTCGTTCATTACCAATTAACGACTTAAATAACTTTGATAAGAAGAAAAGCGCACACCGTTAACTAAATTAAATTAAGTAATGATGATCTATATGAAGAGGAGATCATCTATGTGTTAGGTGTGTATTATTTAAGACGTAGGCACACATAAATAAATACATAAGAAGGAAATGTATAGCACAATTTCTCCAACACGACTATCTATATAGACAAATAACGAGCTGAAAGATGGAGGATTCTTTGTATAGAACAATAATTAACCTAACCTACTTTGTAAGCTAACTCATAGGTTCTTTTAGTGTAATTCACCTTAGATGAAAAAGCACTTTTGCCGAGATTACGCGGGATAGCGAAGCTAATCATGGGAAAATTGCTTCGTCATCAGTCTTTCTACCATTTTTTACTAAATAAACAATCGAAGTGTTTTGTATACACTGAAACTTTTAGAAACGTTTAGCTTTGTTAGTTGAGATATAAGATCGATATAAGAAAAGAAGCTTCCTGCCTAGAAGCTATAGAGTATTATATAGTTTGCATTGTGGGAGTGAGTTTTTTTCGTTCACATATCTCTAAGCATTTTGTTGCTTCGCGGATATTGGATCATTTTTACTGCCATTTGTAAATGTGCTCCGTAAACGGGAAATAAATATGTGAAAGAAAAGTAAAATCGTTTAGTGAATACCGTATATATAAAAATATAGTACCAAATAGAAGACTTTTAGAAATATATTTTGAAAGGTCATTTAAATAATACCATTAAAAAAAGATATTTCTCCACCACATATCACGTTTGTTCATTTCAACAAAATAATATCACAGCAATACACGTAAATCGGTTGGGTATCGACCATCATATCGATACAATATCTACTTAAAAATAATAATACCAATCTAAACATATCTTACAGACATTTCCAAATAAATACTCGATATCCGATTATTTTGCGTATGTTGCCTACACACATCATGTTTTGTAATACGCTGTACTTATTTTTCAATATCGCATTCGACCAAAGTAAATTATTACCGAAAGCCATGCGTATAAATTGTATACAGATTGCAACTTTTTAACTAACAAAAAAAACGATGACATGTCCGTGTGTGTTTTAATGGAAAACTAAAATGTTTCTTTAATAAAAAATTAAACAGGGAAAAAGTTCTTTTAATTTTTAATTTAAAATAACCGTTTTGAATATAAATGGGTAAGTAAGATAAAAAAAACTCCCAAATATTGACCTTAATTTGGTATCATAAATCATCAGCAACCGGGTTCTACAAATCAGTGATCCCGTTCCATTCCATTTCCGTACCCAAATTACGTCCACACACTTCCGGTATTTACTGCAACGAAACCGGTACGTTCACAAACGAACCGCCAATCTTCGGGTCGGGGCGCCCCAAGAAGTTGTCACGCTGGTTATTTCTGTCCCGCATGGGCCCCGAGATCTCTTCTACTTGTACAGCACGCGGCTCTCCGGAGGCTCAGTTCTTTTGGCGACCACGCACGGGGCATACCTCTACCGACGAATAAAGCCCTCGCCACGTGACTTTACGACGCGATCAAAACCCCAATCGACGGGGTTTGAAATGACCCGACCCGAATTAGCGATACGAAATCGAAATCGTCGCGAAGTGTTTTCGTGATTTGTTTAGTGTTCTAAAATGACGCGGAGGACGGTGTATTTCTTTTTTTTGTTGTTACTCTCCGTGGAGTCCGGCAGTTCCGGGAAGGCCAAGTCCCATACCAGGAACAGACAAGGTAAGAGCCCTTTTACCTGATTGTCTAACGTCCATTGTCTTGGGCTTTGGAAATTTATCGATCCGTCATTCCCGGAAAGCACGGTACCCCCCACGTCTTCAAACACAAAGACAAGGGCGGATTTCTGTGCTCAAGAAGGAATGAGCACCGGAAGACGCGCTCGATCGGGGTTTAAAGGGAAAGAGGGTGTTTAGAAACACGAATGAACTCGGTCTTGACGGAAAGGTGAAGGGTCACCGCGCTATAAATTCGCGAAGACAATAGACTTGTTAAAGTTCGCTCCACACGGTGCTTGCCCTGGGCTATATCTCGCCGTTTTACCTAATGGAGGTTGTCTTACAATGTCTTTCACAATTGCCCCGTCAACTAGCAGAAACAGTTTCGTGATTAAATGAATGTTTAATCGCAAATCTTTTTAATTAAAAATTTGTAACGTTAACAAATCTATACGGGAATTAAATATCCTATAAATTAGACTTTATTTAAACAAATATTCCTACCTAGGTAATATTTGGAGTGGTAATTTAACTTGACAATAATTCAATTTAATGGTTTTTATATATAATTATTTACATACTATGAATTAAAATTTTACGATACCTATAAAATTGTTAAAGTTTCATTAAAGATTAATTAAATGCCAATTATTAAATTTAAATTGGCAAAGTAAATTATGGATAACCATAACATTATTGATTTATCTATACTTTATTATCTAGGGTGTTTTAGGTTTTACGACCTTTAATATTTCATACAACTTTTAAAACTAATACAGAAATTTCTTGTGTTTTGATGGAGCTTTAGAAGAAATAGTTTGTATGTGTATGTAGTCGTCTGAAGACGCACAGCTAGTTCTAGTGTTGATTCAATAACAATATTCAACAACCTGGCGTTCAATACTGACCAAAACTAAAACTAGCACTATCATTATACATACAAACATTCGAGTTCAGCCGTGCGTCTCTCAAGACGACAAAACCCGATTGTTTCTAGTTCTACGTCTAGTGTTAGTTTTAGTTTCAGTTCAATAAATATCTACAATAATCTGGCGTTGAATAACAATTAAAACTAGAACTAACACTAGACCTAGAATTAGAAACATTCGGGTTTAGCCGCCCGTCTCTTAAGACTGCTAAACCTGAATAGTTCTAGTTCTAGGTCTAGTGTTAGTTCTAGTTTTAGTTCAATAAAAATATACAACATAGCGATATCTAGTGCTAACTAGTACTACCTAGCATTGTCACTAGAACTAACATTAGACCCAGAACTAGAAATATTCGAGTTTAGCCGTACGTCTCTCAAGACGACAAAACTCGAATGTTTCTAGTTCTACGTCTAGTGTCAGTTCTAGTTTGTTGTCTATTTAGTTACTCCCGTCCAAATTAATTAATGATAGTTAAATTGAAGAAGAAATAAAAAGGCGAGAATCAATTAGTTTACATGAATGGTCGGGATAGAAGTGACACGGGCACAAGTCTTGTACCTAATTAATCTAACTTTCGTTTCCCTTTTGTAACGAGCGGGAGAAACGGCAACTTTCATGTTTCGATAATGCCCTTTTACTATGGAGGTCATCGATCAAGTTCCAAGTTAGAGAATGCTTGAGTTAACTACTGAATCGGGGCGGCGTGGTTTCAGTAGTAGTTGGAGAGCATTAAAGCTGGTTTCTTTTTTCAGGAGGTGCATACCACAAATAGTGCACGCTAAACTCGATAGAGCGTCCCCTATTAAACCGCTCCGTAGTCGATACCATGGGACGTTTATCTGATATTTATCACCTAACGCCGTAGAGGAGACTGATAAATTAACGCGAACGCCTGAAAAAAACCGTCGGCCAGTTTGTGCTCTCCCCCGGCAGAATTTATAGACTTTTAGTCGAACGCACAGCTCGGTCGCTGTAATAAATCAGTCTTGAATTTCATTAGCCACTAAAAGAGACTGCTAACCGAGATTCTCTTATTGACTACGACCGCCGCCATTGAGTTATTGTCCTTTCACAATTGCCCGTGGATTATGGTAGCCGTAATTACTATCTTCGCCGATGTAAATCAGTGTCTTACCTATTTTGCGTTAAATTTGCTATATTCCGTTGCTACCATTTATGGTGTCTTCAAATTAAATTAACTTTACGCTTAATATTTTGAAAGCTAACTCTATTTTTTCCGCACAACTCCTAAAAGCATTTCAGAGAATTTATGTCTGCTCATAAAATAAGCTCGCATCTTCTTTAATGTTTCCAGAAAGCGAAAAGTGGCAAAGACCTCGCCGTAGGGGGCAGAAAAACAATTTTCATCGTGTATTTTAAGGCTCGAAAACGTTTTGTATACTAAATAATAAATGATTCATCGTACAATTAAAAATTTTCCTCGAAAATGGTGTTTATTACATCTAGGTCTGTCGACCTCTCTTAATCGTGTATTTTCGTTTGCAATTCGCTCGCCAGGAATAACCATCTTACCTGTGCATCGTACGAATCGTGCAGACGGAGTTTATTTTTGGTCATTCAATATTAGCATTATACTCCCACATCCTTTCAAATCCTTTCAAAGCAAACATATATTCTTGGATTTTGATACATGATATTTTGTTCGTAAGACTCACACATCACCAGATGCGAATACAACTTTAACTGATCTTCTCAAGTCCAAGTTTACCCATAACCATATGCAATCTTGGCCATTAAAAGGCCATGAACGTATTATAATTATGCGGTATTAAACGGACAACAAAGACCATCCGTGCGGGAAACGGTCGAGATCGTATCTGAGCGCCTTGGTTAATTTCATTAATCAATAAATATCCTTATACGTCCTCGTCGACGATGTTAGACAGCGGAACCGGTCATTAGCTCGATAAACACTGGGCCGAATCCGCTCGTTTTGGTTTTTTTCGAACGATCAACGTCACGTACAACAATCGAGACGTGCGGAGTCTCTCTTCTATATGAACAATGGCCCTCACGAGTGGGTATCTCGAATCGAAAGACGGGGTTAGACTTCACACTGAGAGATCAACTGGTCCTACGTATCGCCCACGCCCATCGAGTCGCTAATAACATGCAAATTAAGTCGGACGTCGATGGCCCGGCTGCGAAAGCTACAGATGTTCTTCTCGTCGTCGCTCTTGTCCATTGATTACACAAGGTTACATCTTGATCACCAACGGTTTCATTTCGATAAAGTGACAGGTTTTGAAGAATCAAAGAATTAAATTAACTGCATTATCTATCTTCTTTTTAAGGTAGCGTGGATATTATAGTATTGAAGAAAGAAGTGGATAACTACAAATTTTTTTTCTCCAAAATGTTTTGGAATTCTGAAATAAGACTTATTGTGGTTATAATAGAACATTTTATGTTAGTTTTATCAAATATTCGCTGCAGGACGTGAAAACGGCGTCGACTCTAGTTTATGACTGTAAAAGAACATTAAAAACACTGAGTTGTGATAACAGAATTTCTCTGATCTGGGTCCCAGGCCACTCTTGGGTTTGTGGCAAAGAAGTGGCAGATGAGCTAGCACGAGAGAGCAGCGCTAAAGTGTTTGTTGGGCCAGCACCAACAGTTGGTGTATCATTTACTATGGCCAAACATAAGATTGCACTGTGGGCTGAAAAGAGACTTCGCCTACTGTGGACCAGTTCTCCTGGAAAGAGACAGACTAAGGTGTTTATTAACATCGCCACTGTCAAACCCGGAAATATTTTAGCAGTTGCTCGTAGCAGCATTAAAGTTCTAATGGGTGCCTTTACTGGGCACTCCCCAAAAGCTTTGAATAACTTTTCACCGAGCAATCTTGCAAATTTGATAACGTTATCTATCGGGGTACAATAGATTCTTAGGGTCGAGGTGCAAGGTTGATTGGCCCGATATGTAATTTATGTAATGTAATATACCAAATTCAACACCTTCCTGTCTAGAAAAAAAAATCAGATTATAAAAGAATATTTAAGCTTAGCCTACAATCCAGACATAGAACGTGAGTTCGTTAGTAGAATGATAAATCGACTCATTCCTATCTTCATGAACATTTTGAACAACATTTAAATGTAACATTTAATATCTTTATAATATAAACTAATATAATTATAACAATTCACGCGTGATATATAATAAAAAAGAATCAACGTTGAAAACGGAGAACTAAGTTCGAGTGGTTTTGTTGTTGGTTCCGACCACGTAATGTGAACGTTTAATGACCCGTCAGTGAAGCACAATGCCGAGGTCGCCCTCCGGTTGTCAACATGGCGTATAGGAAACATTTAAATTGGGCCTGATTATGGCTGCCGCTCCGTTCTCCGAGTCCTTTTTAGCCCTTTGATATCATTATAATAATGTCGGTAGACGTACCGTCTCGTATTTTTTTTTTACATACCTCGAAAGCGAACGTTTCGAGGAGGCACGTCCTTAAGGCGCTATTTCGAGTTTAGCTGTGGCAGGTCGAAACGCGGTGCCATTCAAATTCGTTTACAGCAATAGAAGTGGCCGTAAAATTAAAATAATTTCAGAGTTAAACGCCGCCGGGGAGATAAAGAGCGTTAAAGGCCATTTTTCTTTTCTCGAAGTCGCGGCGAACCTCGACTTTATGGACGTTGAGGCGCCGACGTCCTTAATCTGTTACGGCTAATAATAATTTTCTCACTGTGTGCGCGTTGGCGGCGTTTACGATTTGAACTTGGATGATGGTGTTTCGAGCACGAGAATTCATAAGAATCGATCTAATCCCACTGACATTCCTTTACTTTTTCGTAAGACAACTTAATTGTAGTATTTATTAGAGAATTAAAAGAAATTGGATGGGATTCAAAGGATGTAGTGTAAAATCATAAAAAGTTATTTTCTGTGGCTGCGAACAAAAGGGGCTCAATAGGTAGTCGTTAGAGAGGGAGTTTGAAAACTTTGGGATCTTCCCGTTGCTGTTACATTGTTTGTAGAACGATATTTACGTATCCTTGCTTTGTAGTCTCGTAACAAAACAAGAACTAAAACACACTCGGCAGAT